GTTTATTCATTTTTAGCTGTGAATTTTTGTGTGGTGTGTGCATGTTCCTGGTTGTGGGAGAAAGAATGCAGGAAGATTCACTTGGCTGTCATTCCTCAGGAGACCCCCTCACCTTGTTTTTCATAGTTTATTTCATTTATTAGTGTGTGTGACTGTGAGTGTATGTGAGTGTGTGTGTTGGGCATGTGACAGAGAATGGGACCAGGGAAAAGGAGGGGTATAAAGAGAAAGGGAGGGTAGGAGGGCAGGCACATGTGTAAATGGTAGATGTTAGGCAACAAGTTTTAAGAGTCTCCTTTTGGCCTCTGTGATATTCAAGGCAGTGTCTCTCGTGTTTCTGAACTGTGTTTTCTTCTTTGTGGGACGAGGTCTAACAACTTGCAGTCAATTTTCCTGTCTCTGTGAGTTATCTCCCTGTATGTATGCTGGGATTTCAGATGCCCACCTTTGGATCTGGCTTTGAGAGGGTCTGAGGAAAAAAAACTCAAATACTCAGGCTAGTTTGCTAAGCACTTTTATGCGATGAGCCAGCTCTTTAAAAAAAAAATCCTTTTTTTGATACAAAATTTCCCACTGGCCTAGAGATCACCAAGTAAGCTAGGCTGTCTTGCCAACAATCCCCAGGAGTGAAGAGATTCAATGAGTGTTCAAAGCAGTGATGTACCGCCTAGCAACTTAATTTCTGGGTATAGCCTGCAAACACCCAAAGCTTAGCGTTGAAAGGGGTTTGCCCACCTTGATTCACAGCAACAAATGACAATTCAGATGGTCTTCAAGACTACGTGAACCCAGATAACCTTCCACAGATGCTGATAAAAGAAAACACATGGCATCTTTGCAAAGATCCCATTTGGGTATTATCCAGCCTTGAGAATGGAGAAATACAGTTGTGTGTGAGCACATTAGTGAGTCTTGAGGACATTCTATTAAGTAAAACACGGTAGCCTAAAAAGCACATGTTCTGCATGATTTTCTTCATGTGATATAGCTAAAGGAGTCAGATTCAGGAGATGAAAAAAACATGGTTGTAGCCTTGGACTATCCAGCAAGGGGAAATAGTATGTATTGAATGGGTATGCATTTGTGTTTGGCAACATAAAAAGACTTCTGTTGGGTGTTGGTCTGGTGCTATCTATTCTAATGTTAATTGTTTTCTTCCCTGAGGTCAGCTTGCTCATTTTCACAAACAGACACTCAAGTACCTCAAATGACACGACATTGTAAAACTTACCTCTCTGTTTGGCCAATAAAATGCCAACACACCTCCGCAAGGTGGATGGGGTAAGTATGGCCAAGGTTCTTTGCCTTTGAGGGACAAGTGAGGATCACGAAAAGGAAAGAAGGTGGAGGAGAAAGAAGAAAGCCGAGTTGCCTGGGGATAGAAACAAAACCAGGTCTTACTATCTCCCCTTCTCTCATAAGATTCCCCGCACTCTGCCCAAAGCTTGGTTATGAGTCTCAGCATCTGCTTTGATACACTGTTGGGTAGTCTTTCAGAGGCCCTCTGTAATAGGCTCCTGTCCTGTTTCCTGTTTTCTTTTTCTTCCAGTGTCCATCCCGTTTGTCTTTTTGAGTGAGGATTGAGCATCTTACACAGGGTCTTCCTTCTCACTTAGCTTCTTTAGGTGTAGTGATTTTTGTAGGTTTATCCTATATTTTGTGTCTAGTATCCACTTAATAAGTATATACTGTGTGTATCTTTCTGTTTCTGGGATACCTCACTCAGGATCATCTTTTCTAGTTCCCACCATTTGCCTGGAGACAGCAGGAGCTCCACAAGGAGCACAACAGAACCAAAATATCTGGAGACAGGGGCCTTTTTTGAGACTGATCCTCCAACCAAGGACCATTAATGGATATAACCTAGAACCTCAGCACAGATGTAGCCCATGGCAGCTCTGTATCCAAGCGTGTTCCCTACTAAGTGGAACAGGGACTGTCTCTGACAGGAACTCAGTGGCTAGCTCTTTGATCACCCTCCCTGAGGGTGGAGCATCCTTGCCAGGCCTCAGAGGAGGATAATGCAGCCAGTTCTGATGAGACCTGATAAGCTAGGGTCAGATGGAAGGAGAGGAGGACCTCCCCTATCAGTGGACTTGGAGAGGGGCATGGAAAGAATATGAAGGAGGGAGGGTGAGATTAGGAGGGATTGAGGGAGAGGGCTACAGCTGGGATACAAAATGAATAAACTGTAATTAATATAAAAATAAAATTTAATAAACAATATATTAAAAGAAAAGGAACCATGTGGGCTGAGAAGAAGGACTTTGACAATAGCATGTAAAAGAATGGCCCAGATGAAAAATATGAGCAAATATTTTGGGATTATGGATGAAAAGTAGTCTAGATAGAAATGGTTACAGCAGAAGGTGTGTAATAGGGGCTGGAAGATAATAAGATAAATTAGGTGGAATTACCTGCCCAGCCCAAGGTGAAATAAGACTAATCTAAATTAGTCTTTATTGATTGTGATAGAGGATTAGATAATACCGCTATAATAATTATAGTGTAATAATAAACATTAATAGCATGTATTTTTAAAATTACCACAACAAACTACCAGAAACCTGTCCAAAAACAACTTGAAAATACATACTGTTGAATTATGCAGTTCAAGAATGGTTTAGTTAGACAAATTTGCTTCTGTGTTTTAAGATAATTCTAATATGAAAACAAGCAAAGCATGTGGCCAGCCAATGCATTCATTACATGTTTCACTGATTTTGAGTCAGAGGTTAGAAGATACCTTCATACCCTCATCTTATACATGGGGAAAATAAAGCAGAGTGACCAAGTGACTTCTATAGAATCACAGCAAGCTGAGGAGGAAGTACAGCAGGCCTGTAAGAAACCTTGTCTCAAAAACTGTGGCCTCAGGGGTCTTTTTTGAGACTGATAGTCCAACCAAGGTCCATGCATGGAGGTAACCTAGAACCCCTTCACAGATGTAGCCCATGGCAGCTCAGTCTCCAAGTGGGTTCCATTGTAATGGGAAGAGGGTCTGTCTCTGACATGACCTGATTGGCCTGCTCTTTGATCACCTCCCCCTGAGGGGTGTTTGCCCTTACCAGGCCACAAAGGATCACAGTGCAGCCAGTCCTGATGAGACCGGATAGACTAGGATGAGAAGGAAGGAGAGGAGGACCTCCGCTATCAGTGGACTTGGGGAGGGACATGAGGGGAGAAGGGGGAGGGAAGGTGAGATTGGGAGAGAGGAGGGATGGAGCTATAGATGGGATACAAAGTGAATATGTAATTAATAAAAATAAAAAATGAAAAAAAATTGTGGCCTGTCAGAGCAGATGGAGGACACCAGAACATGGCCCATTGAATCAACTAAGCAGGATTCATATGGGCTCACAGAGACTGAATCAGCAATCACGGGGCCTATATGGGTCTGCACCAGGTCTTCTGCATATATATTAGGGCTGTTATCTTGATTGTTTTGTGGAAATCCTAACAGTGGGAGCAGTTGTGTCTCTGACTCTTTTTTTCTGCTCTTGGGACTCCTTTCCTCCTATTAAGTTGCCTTGCTCAGCCTCGATATAGGGCTTTCGCCTTGTCTTATTGTATCTTGTTTTGTCCTGTTTGACTGTCATCCCTTGGAGGCCTGCTCCTTCCTGAGGAGGAAACAAAGTGTGAGTGGATCTAGGAGAGGTGGGGAGGCGGGTAGGGTCTGGGAGGAGTGAAGAGAGCGAAAACTGTGGTCAAGATGTATTGTTCAAGAGATGAATCTATTTTTAATAAAAATAAAAAAGAATGTGGATTACACGTGAAGAATGACACCAAAACTTGTCCTTACTCTCCATGTCCATTAAGCAATACAAGTATGAACTCACACCAACAATATTCATCCATGCACAAGAACGTGCACATACAAATAAAAATGACATTTCATATTCAATGGTGTATTTAGTTTTTCAAGTTCAGTTTGCCTTAGAAATGCCTCCCAACTTTCCATAATTTCCTTTTGAATATTTATGTTGGTATCAGCTTCTCTAATATGCGTTTTGCCTAAGCTATTTCCTGGTTTCCTTTGAATGAATGAAAATTCTTGGACAGTTCAGGAATTGAAATAGAGGAAACAGAAGCTTCCTCCACAAAGACCTCCCAAGAATTTTCTGTGTTTCCTTTCTTCCACACTTCCCCAATCTCTATTGTGGACATTCTCCTAGCAAGAGTTTTGCTTCTGGGCTCCTTCTTCTTGCCTTGAGGCTTCACTGGACACTTGGAAGGTCAGATTTATTTCTACTAATCAATAGAAAAGAAGTTGTGATATACAGGTGACAAGGAAACTATGGAATAGTAGTATTCAGGAGGGAAAGAGAACAAGACTCCCTAATATTATATCCCAGGCCACCTCAAAACCTGCAAAAATCACAGCTACGGTCAGAGGACTTTGGAAATCCAGGTGAACTCAGGCCAGGTGATCTGTTGCCTAGTAAACCGAGTGTCACT